AAGCTCTCAGCGCAGAGAACGTAAGGACGGTTGTTGGACTGAAATTCTGAAAATGCTCATACTCAGATGTAAAGGCAAAACCTATACATCTGAAACAGAAGGTGCTGCATTTTTGTTACCCTTTATCTATCCAGATAAAAACATTAAGAACAGTTTCTGTATGATGTTTATTAGACCTATGTAATCTGAATTGGAAGGGCACATTGTCATGAGCTGTATCTTGTATATTTATTATTAGCTATGTGGTATGTGTATGCACCTTTATGTAATCTGGTGGAAAAACATATTAAAATTTAAAACCGGATCATACCAAACAAATATCTGCTTGCGTGTCCCTGTGTATGCAAAGTGTCCTCCTTTTAGATGTGAAGGAAATGGCCACCCTAACACAGAGCAACCGTCGATAACTTCAGGTTATATATATATTTTTTTTTTTTATATATATATATAATAATTCTTCGTTGTACATGTTTGTACAGTTATTAAATACATTTTTGAGCACTTTCAAAATGTATTCGTGTAAAAATCTTTTGAATGGGGAGGAGTGGTGACATTTACGCAACCGATTGCTTTTTTTTTTTTTTAAGTTGGAAAAGAAATATCGAATGAAGTACTCAATTAGTATTGGTATCGTGTTAAGGGTACTGGTATCAGTACTGGTATCGAACATTTTTAAACGATACCCAGCCCTAATGTGTCCGCATTTTTACTCTAATTACTGTATTGTATTCAGGAAAAGCTCTTCTATGACTGCTTGTGTTTGGACAACATTTTAAGGGTGAACAGGCCCTGGGGAGCACTGCCTGTGTGAATAAAGTTGTATAAAGCCTTTCGTGGCATAAAAGGGGGCATGCATAAAGTCTGAAAAATCACCTCAAGTGATGTCACTTGAGTCAGCGTCAATTGGGATTGAAGACAACAAGTAAAAGGAAAGAAATTGGGAGGTGTGGAGACAAAATGAAGGGACCAGACTTTAGTAGCCCACTTGACGTTAGTTACTCAATGCTACCTTAGCCGCTACTAGCATAACACACCCAAATCTCCCACCAAACTGTGGATCGTCGAATTATGGTTAATGTATGTTCCAAGGACTGAGATTACGTGGAATAAATTAGACAATTTCTCTGGTTCAGCAGCATAAATTTTCATCCTTTTTGTATTTAACTGTCCATCATTAGTCTGACCATGTTGTAGGAGTGCAGTGCTAAGTTGGTGAAACACAGTATTTAGAATACAGCAGTTGTTTTCATAGACTTCATTGGGAGGTATGATTAGTAATTCTATAACAATCACCCTTTCTTTATTAAAGCCCAGATTCAATTCAGTCGAAATGACCACATATATAGTAAATTGGATGTAATGTAACATAATATTCATTTAGTGTTCTCAGTTAGGATAATAGCATTGCTTAGCACTTCAGTTTACCTCTAGTGTGTGGGTCAGTATGAAATGTGTAACAGTGCTGCGTCTTATGAAGACTGCTTTATTGGGCTTGTATCAAATGCAGATGAGAGCGGGGATGCTGAACTCCTTGAAGGAGCGGGGAGGGGAGGATTTGTATTAGTGATACTTGTCATGTCTGCTGTAAATCACGCTGCTTTTTTTCAGGTTCCTAGGTTGTTGTTGTTTTGTCTCAGAATGCTGTGTGGCAGGGATGAATGGTGGTGATGTTACATTATCATGTGGCTGTCGCTTTCACTCCTGCTGACTGGTCTGTGACAGGCCCACACACACACACACACAGACACGGATATATATATACCCACACACACACACACACACACACACACACACACACGGTTGTGTCAGGAGCAGGCCTGATTTATTAACTGCTGAAACCCTAGATGACGTGTGCCCACACAATCAATAGAGAGCACAGCCACTGCCTGCCTCTCTCTGGGGTCATGTGATGTGGACAAGAGCTAGGCAAGGAAGGACACACACATACGCACACATATATACACTACAGTGCTGCCGAGTGTATTGCATTACTGTATTGATGGGAAATGGATCCAGTCCAGCGTTGGTTGCTAGCTGCCAGTCAGAGGCAAGAAGGGTAAACTTTCATCATGGCTGTCAGGGACATCACTACTGCCTTGTTTGACCGTAAATCTTCCTAATTGTGACAGAATACTTCAACATCATTAATTAAACATGTTTTCATTTAAAAGCACTCGCAGGGCGCCAGGCTGGGTGCTCAGGGTAGTCTGCCAATGTGCATAGCTGTGTATTTTTCCTGTGTGTGTGTGTGTGTGTGTGTGTGTGTGTGAGTGCTTACATTTATGCACAAAGTGTATGTTTGTGTTGTGTGTTTGAGTGTGTGTGCACCTTGATTCTCCCTGTATGAGTGGGTGGCTTAATCGTCATGTTTATTTACACTCCTGTTGTCTGCAAACAGCAGGCAGTGTGGCAATGGGTATGAGCCAGCTCTTAAGGAAGTAAAACAGCAGAAATTAATTTTGTCAATAATCAAAACAAAGGCTTATTCTTAGAATTCCATTCATTATTCAGGAAGCGGCTCGAGAATTGTTTATGATACGTATTCATTTTTTATGCCTTGCCTTTTTGGGTTTAGTGCCCCACATCTCAGGGAAGGAATTATACAAGAGCATGCACAAAGGGAGGAGAGAAGAAGGGTGGGGGGAGGGAGGGAGGGAAGGAGGAAGCGACAGAGAGGGGAATTGCGTCCTCTCATTGTTCAATTAAGTCTGTCGGTAATGATCAAGATTAGATGATGGCCATCTTCCTTTTATAGATACTAATCTGTGACTGTCCATGGAATAAGTGAATCGCAGAGCAGTATGGACTCCATGCCTTTGTTGCTACAATAAACTACAAAATGTGTATAAAGGATTTTTGGTGTTATAATACAAGTGTTGGGAGCATGTGATGTGTTAAAATAGAGGGTATTTCCCTCTGTCAGGTGATTATGTTAATGCATAGTCCATGGTTGCAGAGTTCACAACGAGCACTCTGACTGGCATTGAGGTCTAATCGATTTCATTGCTATTACTGAACAGAAATAAATAAAGCTGATGGCTGTGGTTAGGGTAATTATGCCACAGCACAGTGAATTGTTTGATTTTCCTTATTAATTGTATTTATTTAATCCATTTCATGCTTTTAGTTGTGCACTCGGGGACTTGGAGGGAATGAATAAATCACTCTTAGGCTCATTAGATTCCCCCTCTGGTTGGGATGTGCCACTATTTTGTCAGAATTAAATTGGCGAGTGTTATAATTTCCCGCTGGTGTGATTCACATGAAAAATATCCACATATTCATCTACCAGCACATGTGCACATACGCCCACGCACGCATACACACGCGCGTCTGCTCCCAATCTGAACTCCTGACCTTTTCCAGCCGTCTGATAGCCATTGACATTTGCCTCTTGAGCTGAGCTTGCTCACGTGTTGGAGCTGATGGGAATGGATGATGTTATTGCTGGAGGAGAAAAAGAGAGGGAAGGAAACGGGAGAGAGAGGGGGGAGGGCGGTTGATAAGAGGAGGACCAGGGTAGACAAGCTCCCCATGCGGCCCCGGGAATCCATCTGGACCCCCTGCTCACCAGAAAGGTCACAGGGCGACTCAACCTTACGTCCTCATTACAAAAAGAGCCGTTGCTGTGACCGAAGACTGTGGGCTACAATATGGCTTTACTGCCCTGTCACACAACCTGTCATTTACCCTCACTGTCTACAGTCATCATGGAAGAGACGTACTGGATGCAGTATTAGATCGTCCTCCTGAAACATTTTGATAGATGCGTGGATTAAAGTGTGTATGAAAAATGGTGTGGCAGCGCGAGCTTTGTCTTTGTCCTTGAAGACAGTGGATGGAATGGAGGGCTGCACCTGGTCGGCTGTTTTCAGCACCTCTGAGAAAAGCAGGACTCTCCGCTGCTTTACCGAGGGAGCCTTCTGGTGGCAGAAAGAGGCAGGGCAGTACAGCTGATCTTTGAACAAAAAATATCTGTGTGTTTTACGCTGTAGAATATAGTTAAAATAGCATTATTGAAATTGTCAGCAGCATAGTTCTCAGTTCTCAGAATATCTGGGCACGTGAATGTGTGCAAGACTGCATTTGGTTTATGTGTACATTTGGCCGATTTTGTGTGCATGTCCATCTCAGCAGGCCTGTCTTTGTTGTGTTTACACTTCACTCTCCACACCATAGGAGCTGAGTGTCAGTTGAGAGTTGAGCGCCTGTAGGTGTGTGAATGTGCGCAGGTTCAAACCCCCAAACAAGTGTGTAAACAGACCTCAGTGTCAGTTGTAAAAGCATCCTTAGTCCTGCTAAGTAAAGATTACAACACTGAAAGCCGCACTGGTGTTCCAGGTGTGGTGTGTTAGAGTGTTAATTTAGTGGTTGTTTGTATGAAGAGAAAAAAGTTTGCTTGACTTGCTGAGTTAAAATTATTAACCTTAATGAATCAAACCATTTTACCCATACTATACCTTTTCATTACAGTAATCATCAGATTTTTAATTTATGTATCATATAGTGTTTGAACTATTCGATTTAGCTCAGATTCTCCTCAGCTGATTTATTTGAGCCAGGTGTCTTTGCATTAATATGCTGCGTCTAACTGGTGTTATTAGTTTGTTTTTCTGTTTAGATAGCATCTGACAAGATAATAAAGCCATCAGCCAGAAACTAAACATAGTCTGAGCATAAGGAGAGCAATGAAAGATGAACTCTGGTGGAAGGCTGTGTTAATTTTTTTTTACATGAAATGATAGCCAGAATCGATAAAATTATAGTTTTATGGTGCTGCCTAGCTGCCAGCCACTGTGAGGCTGCAGGTTTTTATGGCTCAGACTTGAACTATTAAAATGACGGCCATATCTCAGGGAGTTCACTTGGTAGGCAGGAGCAGGAAAAATAGTTAAGACTCTTTCTCAGTCATTGAAAAATTCTTGCAATTCAGTCATTTTCAAGGTCCATGGAAGTAGGTTTAGTATCATTGCTTCATCTTCTTCTCCTGTCCTCCACAGTGCTCAGTATCCGTGGCGCTCAGGAGGAGGAGCCTCCAGATCCTCAGCTGATGCGACTGGACAACATGCTGCTGGCGGAGGGCGTGGCCGGGCCGGAGAAAGGGGGCGGGTCGGCAGCTGCGGCAGCTGCAGCAGCCGCCACAGGCGGCGTTGGTGCTGACAACTCAGCAGAACACTCCGACTACCGGGCCAAGCTGACTCAGATCCGACAAATTTACCACACGGAGCTGGAGAAGTATGAACAGGTGGGGAAGAGGAATATTGTCATTTTTCCTACCAGCTCTTATTATTCTCAGTTATTTAGCTTAGTTCCTCTTACTGTAACATACATTCATAGTCATTTTATTAGTCAATACAAAAGTGCATCTGTAGGATTCCCATGTACCTCACTGGATGAAGCCTTATTTCAGCCCCCCATAATAGGAATATCTGCTCTGTTAAAACTCTTTTTTGAGTATTTTATTTACACCACTTGCAATGGGGCAATGTTCATAAAGTTGACCCCGACCTCTCCCTGCAGGAGGAGCAAACAAAAGGAGAATTTTCTCTTCGAGGACACAAAAATGAAATGAGTAACTACAAGAAAAATAAAGAGGGGGCTTGCCCTTTATCCTTTTCTATACTTTATTTACATAGTTTAAATGTTCTCCCTCAAGTTTCTGTGTAACCTTATAAGGTGAAAAAGCATCACCTGAGGTGAGTTGGAGAATTTAAATTGCGCGTAGTTAAGAACATTAGAGTGAGTATGATATTTTAGCTCTATTACTTATTGGCATTGTATTCCAAGGCTTTTTTTGTTTGCCCCTTGTCCTTTTATGCTGGAAAAAAGCTCCAACTGTGAACATAAATGAAGAGAAGTTGCTGTAAACTGCAGATTATTTAAACAAAGTATAATGCTCTTGAAATCAACTCTCACGGGCCAACTCATGACAGGCCGAGCTTTCAGAGATGTTATGTTCAGCAGGCAAGCAGCCATTATATCAGTCACACACCAGCTCTTTTCCAAAGACTGTAACGTCTTGTCATTCCCTCGGAAAGTCAAAGCGTTCTGGGTTTGTCATCTTCTCCGAGGAAGGCTAGTCATCGCTAACTGTCACAGTCAATACACACCTGAGCATTTTTGTGTCACCGTGCTACGTACACCTTGCGCGCGTATGAGTGAGTAGTGTCTGGCGTGTGTGTGCAAGCAGAACGGCTGCTCGGTGCATCACTTTGACTGACGTAACCCTGGTGTTGACAAGCAACAGACACCTTGACTCTGAATGCAGTCATATCCAGTGACTGATTCAGACAGAGGGAGAACGAGGTAGACTGAAAGATGGAGTGAAAAGAGAGGGAGACAGTTTAAACCTCTTGAACGTTAACGGGACTGAAAGCCTGCTGTCATTTTAGATTTCTCTTCACTTGTCACATTTTCTCTTCCATTGAAGAGAAGTCTTTTTAATATTCAGAGCACTGTGAGTCTTGCTGCCTCCACTGTATGACTTTGCCGCCACATTTGTTTGGCGTGGAACATCTCACTGTGTCTGCTGCTTTAATTTAGACTGTTCTTATTACCTCTAACGCTGCTGCTGTTATAGTGTCAGCAATGCTTTGACGAGTCCAAGGCCTACCAGTGAAGGTGCAGCCTCTCCAGAATCCAATTTCATCCTTTTTTGTTCTGTCTGAAGCTGTCGAGCCTCCATGATAGTTATTCTTTTTATGAATCCTGTCTGTCTGTGCATCCAGGCGTGCAATGAGTTCACTACCCATGTGATGAACCTGCTGAGGGAGCAGTCTCGAACACGACCCATCTCTCCCAAAGAGATCGAGCGCATGGTCGGCATCATCCACCGCAAGTTCAGCTCCATCCAGATGCAGCTGAAACAGAGCACCTGCGAGGCCGTCATGATCCTGCGCTCACGCTTTCTCGACGCCAGGTCTGTGTGTGTCCATGTGGGCAATAGAATCTAGCATCCTCTAAACTATCCTTTAGTTTGAGTACATTGTGCTCCAAAGCGTTCTTTATTTTAAAAAAAATATTTTTATTTCTGTTGCAATTGTTGAAACAGATTCAATTGTATATATATCTGACATTTTTGTTAAATTTTTCTCTTTGCCATGTTTTTGTTAAATATTTAAAGGCATTTTAAAAGCTTTTAATTACTGCTGTTGTTGTTGTTGTTGTTTCAGCACTATTTTATTTAATTTTTTATAAATGTCTATTCTGTCTGTCTCCTTTCTGTTATCTATCCAGACGAAAGAGGAGGAACTTCAACAAACAGGCGACAGAGATCCTAAACGAGTACTTTTACTCCCATCTCAGTAACCCCTATCCCAGCGAGGAGGCCAAAGAGGAGCTGGCCAAGAAATGCAGCATCACAGTGTCACAGGTAACCAGAATAAACAAAGCAACATACTTAGATTGTGTGGTTAATCATTTGGTCAAAAACAATTAAATCAGTGGTACTCAAGATACGCAAGATTTAGGATTTTACTTTGATTGGTGTTTCAGTTAGTAATCCCCAAATCAGCATTAACTTAGCTGAGTTGTACAATAAATGTAATCTTAACATTATTTTGGTTTACCGTGACCTTTAGTAGCGGGTAAAAGTCTAAAGTATTGTTAACAATTGACTGATTAACACTAAATATCATCACTGGCTTTAGTAAATCTCAATTTATAATCACAAACATTGGTGTATGTTTCATGAGCCAACACTGGCTGCATATTGAATTTTGTTATACAGGATTTTATGAATAGTAATAGTAATCTTCACATATACTAATGACTTCTTTGTTGTTGTTGGTTAAACATGATGTGAATGGAACTGTTTTTGTTTTGTTTTTATCTTTTTCTATTTTTTTTAGCTTGATGTGCCCTCTCGAGGGAAAATGTAAAAGGATAGACATTATAAGATGCTTTAAGTTATGTTATTTTGCTGTTTTTTAATTGTGGTATTTATTATTGACTGCAATTTGCAGACTGTGTCTGTAAATTCTAATTTGTTACAATCAAAAACAATCATATTCTTGGCTCTTTATCCTCTCTCTTAAACTTACTCTGCTGTGTTTCTTTGGGCCAGGCTTTGAATCCAGTATGTAAATTGTTTGGTCCACTCCTGCTTCTACCAGCTGAGAAATATCGCTAAACTCAGGCCTATTGTGTCCATAGCTGAGATGGAGATGATTATACATGTGTTTATTTCTTCCCATCTTGATTACTATAATTTCCCTTTTCACCTGTCTTGGCAAGACATCCCTAAACTGCTTACAAATGGTCCAAAATGCTGCTGCCAAGCTTCTGACCAAGTCCTCCAAAAGGTCTCTTTCTTGAAATCACGTTTAGAGCCTTGCGTGTGCAGGCACCTGCCTATGTTAAAACTAGTTGCAATCTGAGGTTCCTTTATCAGGGTTTGTCAGTTGTTCGAAGTAAAAGGTGACTTTTTTTTTTTGAGGTTGTAGTTCCTACACTTTGGAATTTTCTCCCATTTGATTTATTATCTGTGGACACCTTTAAAAAACAGATCAAGAGCCATTTGTTTAAATTGTTTTGTTTATTTTGTTTTTGGCTGACATTTAATGTCTTTTGTTTTTTTTGTGTGAAATACTTTGTGATGTTTGCTCTTGAAAAGTGCAATATAAATAAACGTTTTAATAATTTTCAATAGGAAGGACTTTTATAGAGTTGGTCTATGAATCACTAATCAAAAGATGATAGCACTTGTATTTCCATGAGGTTGATGGAAAAAACAATAACCATAGGTCTGATCCACGACATTCAAAAATATTTACAGGATACATTTGTATTAAATATTTTGAATAAAAAAAGAAGAAATATTAGTGTTGCATATTAGTGTTGTGTTGCAGTTTGAAGGAGTCACACTTGCCTCACACATACCAAAACCCATAACAATATATAGTCAATAGCAAGTCCATATGGAAACCTATCATGTCATAGCAGCCACAAAGGCTGGTGCTGAAAGGTGATGTTAGCTATTAATCATTAAGATTCATTTTCTGAATCTACTGTATCTGGTCATTGCTTTGTTGACAGGTATCAAACTGGTTTGGGAACAAGAGAATCCGATACAAGAAAAACATCGGCAAGTTCCAAGAAGAGGCCAACATGTATGCAGCAAGGACCGCAGTCACTGCAACCAGTGTGTCTGCTCACGGCAGCCAGGCAAACTCACCATCAACCCCCAATTCAGCAGGTGAGCAGACCACTGGGTAATATTTAAAGAAAAGCTCTGTAGATAAAAGAACCTGAAACATTCTTCTCATAGATACAGATTGATGCTCATGATAGAGCACAATAACATTCTCACAGCTGAGCCCCAACCCAGAATTCTGTCTCTGGTTCTGTTTCATTTAGACTAACAGAAGACCCCTGTTCTCTTTTACTAACCCAGTAATACGGAGCGGCTTTCTTGCTCTTCTTATTCCATTATCTTTTCTTTCTTCTCTGCCTTTTGCCATCTGTCTCTCTCACTCATTCTCTCTCTCTCTCTCTCTCTCTCTCTCTCTCTCTCTCTCTCTCTCTCTCTGTCTCTGTTATTGACCTCTTGGTCTCGTGGACGTTAATTTTTCCTGCCTCTTGTCCGGTTGACCTTGTGCATGCCATTAAGCTGCTCAGAGGGCAAGCGGAGTCTTTTGTCATATAGCGACTTCGCAACTGTATTGGATTAGGACCGGGTGTTGAAATCAAGTTACGCGATGGTCTCTTTACATCTGGGGAGCTGGGGTCCATTAAAGGACGAAGACGATTCTTTGGGTCTTCCTGCAGATCAATTATTACTTCCTTAATGAAACAGTAGCAGCACGGACGTTTAACTACAATATAATCCATAAGGCTTGTTTAAACTGGACTTAAACAGTTTTATGATGATTATCTGTCTCATTGTTCTTGTTGGCTGATTTTTCCTTTTAAAATATGGTTCAGTGATATTTTAATGTGCATGCACTGCCTCTGTAGTGTGGAGGTTTATAGAAAAAGCATTTTTCATGATGCCAGCTGCCCTCCCAAACTAACCCACTTAATGCACTTTTGCTTATGCATGACCATTTTAACTCCTTTTTCTGTCTCTTCTTCCTTGTTACTTATTCTTTTCTCTCTCTCTTCTTTTATCTTTGTTCTCATCTCGTGCTCTTTTTCTTCCTTTCTGCATCTGTGTATTCTCAGGTTCTGCTGGCTCTTTTAACATGTCAAACTCCGGAGACTTGTTCATGAGTGTGCAGTCCCTCAATGGGGACTCGTACCAAGGGGGGCAGGTTGGGGCCAACATACAATCCCAGGTAGGCGCCTCTCCAAGTTTAGTGTCCTACATGATCAAACCTCTTGAGATTACATGTGCAATTGTTCAACCGCTGTCCAGTCTGGGAGTGCAGAGGCCCACAATAACTTGACCTACACAGTGAAACAGAGGTTATACTTAGCCTGAAGCTTTATATTAATGTAGAAGCCATTGTCAACCCACAGTTGAGTAGACGACTGCAGACAGTTTTGGAAACGGTGCAACACTCATCAGTGCTCCTGACAAGAGTTCACATAGCCACTGGTGCACTGTAGCTCCCTGACCTTGCCCCGGTGGACAGTGATGACCAGCGCAGTGTTTCTGAGTGTTATAACTCTCACCGTAGATTAAGGAATCACCACCCGCGGTGATATTCTCATTTGGTTTCCGTGCTTTTGGCATAATTTTCTCTCCAGCCCCCTTTTCTATTCAGATCAGCTCTGCAAATGCTTTAGGTCGTTCATGAATATGCAGCAGGGACGACCCTTATAGGAGGTAAGGAGGTCTTGAGGGTCGGACTTTAATTAGTGAAACTCATGTTCCTTTAAAAGGGTTATTTTTCCGAACGTGGCAGAATGGCCTCGCTCTCAGGGCTGTACAATTCAAAGAAAGTGAAAAAGAAAAGAGAAAGTATAACTTTGACTAAATTGAGTAGATTGGTCTTATTTGTTGTGAAATCCATATGGCAGGTGTGTTTTCATGCATAACCTGGCAGGCTGCTCTGCCAAAAGCTTCCAGTGAATCTGTGAAGAAACATGGAAATGGCCATATTCCATTAAAACTTTAATAGTGCAAGATGTGACCTCAGTTTACCATATTTTTATTGGCTGCCATGCTGGGTAGACATGTTCCGATGTGAAGATTCATCAGAGCATTTGCTTTACTGTCGTGTGGTAAAGAAAACAAGTCTCATAATACAGTAAATAATATTGATAGTAATGTGCAGCTACATTTAGAAAGAATAGTTGCAAAGTATTGTTTTTAAGGTCTTAAAATTTCTTTCTTAAAATGTATTATTCAACTACAACTACAAACACATTCATAATTAGTTACTTCTTGTCGTTGTTTTTGTATTTTCGTCCTTTTGCGACGTCTGTTATCAAGCTTGTAATAGCAGCCAAATCATTCTGATTCGCTGTTTGTAACCTTTTCCTGTTTATGGTACCCTTTTACTATCAGACTGACCTTTCCTTGTGCATGGCTGTCTTTGTTATCCAGAGCTTTTGTCTGACCAGGCCTTTTGTCTGTGTGTCCCCGCTGTTCCAGGTGGATACCCTTCGCCATGTTATCAGCCAGACCGGAGGATACAGTGACAGCCTCGCAGCCAGCCAGATGTACAGTCCACAGGCCATCAACGTAAGACCTGTAAACAATCTCCTTCTGTTCTTCTCAACATTTTCTTTGCTGTCTTACTGCGCATTCATTCCCCAGTTGTAGGTTGCGTATGATATTGTGTAATTTGTGTGCACGCCGGGATGCCACTTAGCAGAGTTTGCCGGGGTTGGGCTGTTGTCCAGCCAGTTGCCCCCCTGCTCCAGTCGTGCCCTAGGTGGCAGGAAATGAGGCAGCTACCAGGCTGAGTAGCTGGACACGCTCCTAGTCTGTCGGAGGATATTAGCGTTAGCGAGACACCTGCAGTCGACAGAAACAAGGACACAGGTGTCATCCTCCCTCCCAACGCTGCTCTCACATTGGCACCATAGGACAAGTCATACCTCCCCTCCCCTTCTAAGACTGGCCTCGCAAAAAAAAAGTTCCCAGTTGCTAATTCTTAAAATAACTCTTTAACTAGCCTGTCAAAGACTGGGCCAGTTTTCTACGTCTCCATGCTGGGCTGGGCAGGGCGGGACAGGCAACACTGGAGGCAGTGCGTTAGCATGTAGATCCATAGCGACAGGCTGTGCGGGGCTGAACAGAATCAATACGACAGTCACAGGGACAGAAAGACTGGGGCTTTGGGCTAACAGTCCAAGCACATTGGTCAGATCATTCATCCACAGGAACAGCGGCACTGACAGCCAAGCCTGCAACACTAAAATAAGAACATGGATGCATCCAGCCAGTTCCAACATACAACTGGCTCAAGTGCAAAACCAAAACTAACCTCCAAACTAAGTGTTAGTAGGAATCGACAATAAACCAAATCTATTGAATTGCTAACATTATGAATCTTTAGCCCCAGTTTGTGCCTCTCACATATGACGATTAACACCGGAGTCACGGAGCTGAGAATCCAACTTTATGAAATATAAATACCCGGTGATCTTTAAAAAAGGCAGGAGGTAGTTTCACAAAACTTCTGAAGGTATTTGCAGAATCCTTAAAGAATCTTTAAGCCATCCAGAAAAATAAAAAATATTCAGTTACTATTTTTAACTATTTTCTTAATCCAAACAAGTAGCCAGAAATCACATATCTTTTTGCTCAACTTGTAAAATTTGAACCAAAATTAAAAGTTCATTATTATTTTATATTGGTATATATTGATGTTTCTTCCCAGTAATTTACATTTTCATACAGTATAACACATGTTTAATGTTTTGCTTTTGTTTTACTAAAAGGACAACTTGAGAAGCGGTTAAAAATCTTTGTACAATTTTTCTATCCAGATGGTTAGAAGACAATTTCAAGAATTTGGAAATACCTCCAGATCAGGCATATGTGTTGTTAAAGGACATCTTTAAAGATGGCCAGGTATTCATTTGTCTGATAAACAGATGTTTAGCTCTGTGACTTGAATGTAATGGTAATGTATGAAAAGAGGGGTAAAACTGGGTCTAATGAATTTCCTACTAATCTGCATCTACCGTTTCTCAATAATCTCTAAATGTATATAATTAAACTAAGAACAGCTACAATAACCAGCGGCACATAACCAGAAGCTCACTCTCTAAGAAGTCATACTATAAAAATCAAAAAAATCCGAAGTGCACTAGAACAGAAATACCATTTTTGTTAACAATTTATGTTGCATAGTGTTGTTGATGATGATGATATGAATTTGTTCTTTTATAATAAACACCAAAATTGCAGTGTTTCAGTAAAGCTTGTGAATGAAGTGCTGGCGCTTGTATTTATTTAGCCCAGATAAAAAATGTTTCTTCCTAAGATCTACTGACTGAACTCTCGTGGTTCACCTCTCCTTCTTTATCCTTGAACAGCAATTACATCCCTCAAATTGCTGGTGGGTGTTGCCTCTCTCAGAGGCTGGAAATGTGTTTTTTTTTTTCCTTTCTCTTTTCCCTCTTGCCTCTGAATAAGATGACAGACACTCTTTACGCGAAATAACAGGGTTTGGAAATAAGAGGCTGCCAAAGCACGTTCCCAGCTCTCACTAATAGCGTGGAAATTGCAATTAATGTCCTTAATGGTCTTTAGTCAACCTTTTATCATGATTTGAGAAGGCCTCCATAATTTTAAAGAGCTATTTTTTTATTGTGATAATTTATTCTTTTATCAACCATCTCAGGGGTATATTCTGAGATATATGAAAGGTTTGCATATTCTGTTTCATCTCCTCTTTTATCTCACATTATGTCAGCCGTTTGGAGGGAAAAATGAGGGAAGAGGCGCTATAATGTTTTTAATGAAGAGTCTCTTAAAACAGTGTTTGTCAGTTTTTCTACTGTAAAGTAGCAGACATCACTGCTGCTAAAGGAGCTTCGTAGCTTTTATATTTGCATTTGAATTAAGGATTTATGTAGTATTTCTTTATTCTATGGACCAAATAAATGTTTATTATGTCTATCAATACATTCCTACCCTGTCTGTGGCACTCATCTCCAAGTCCAATTGCTCCTACTGACGATGTCAATAAATATATACTGTAGTTCAGCTCAGTCTTGTTGTTTATAGCAAAAATGACTCAAATAGGAGTAAATTGTTTGTGACTATTTTCACACATTGATCAATACACATTTGGTGCTTTAGGAGTATTTACAGCAGTAGGACATTGTACTGTGTGAAGGAATGATTCAAAATACACTACAGTGCTCATGTTTATGAAGGGACATGTCGCTTAGTGTAACAGTGTGACTCACTGATGTGTTTTTAACAGAGCTCTGTGGCACAATAAGAAATACCAGGCTTTAGCTACTTGTTGTTAACTTGTTGTTAGGATCAATTCAGGGTTTGCTTTTCATGGAATTTGCTGCCTGTAAGAAAAATATATAACGGCGCCAACTTTAGATTTCAGTCCTGGTTGATTTGGTGACACCCATAGTTACTAGTGGTAACAGAAAGTTGGCTTTAATAATACAGGTCCCAGAATTCTGGTGGCAGCCACACAAACTATTGTTGTTTTGATAAAGAAGTCAGGCTATAATTGGCCTTTCCCATCATTCTGTGAGCAACCGTGATCTGATTTTATGTTGCGCACAGCGTGAGTCTGTGAACAGCAGGGCACAGTGAAAGGAGTTGGTTATCTCGCTGAGAAGTTGGAGGTGTGCAGCCTGTCGCCTGCAGCTCTTCATCTAACAGCTCACTGTGGCTGCTCCTTCTTGTTTCATTACTCGCTGCAATACTTCAAACAGATCCGCTGCCAAAAAATGTTGCAAAATGACCGTTGTCTTGCTTTGTAGAGGCATTTTTGATGAACGATAGTGGTCAGTGCTAATCTCATTGACAAACACATTGAATTCCTTGTGACTATTTCATGATAAAAGTCAGCTTGAGTTTTGCCAGTTAAATGCTATTTTTGTGACGCTGCAGCAGTAAGAAATGTTTGTATTAGCAGTACAGACAGTACCACAGACCCAGTTTCTTAATAATACAAACATATAAATAGTTTCAATACTTGTATCAGTGGGCTATAGGCTCTATGACCACTGTGTTACCTCATTCTGGGATAGATAGTCAGGACATTTATTTAATGAAAATCTTTAATATTGTTAACCTAAAGACACCAATATTATATAATATGGTATAATGTATTACCATGATACTAACAATTTCCTGTCTTATCTACACAGACAAATGGTGGCTGGCAAGATGCTCCGACTCCTTCGTCAGTGACATCGCCCACAGAAGGACCCGGGAGCGTTCATTCGGATACTTCCAACTGAATATATCCATCTCCACACCTCATCTACAAAACCACATGGACTGACCTTGTTATTCACAGTACTAAACAAAGGAGATCTCTGTCCCACAGTTTGGAGAGGTACTGTGAAAATCCTAACCAGAAAAAAAAAAAGATATTTCCTCTGCTTATAACGTTGGACATTTGGGATACAAACACAAAGTTTCACAATAAAAATCCAAACAATATCGCAATCCATGGAGACGTTTGTACAGATTTCACATTATATTGAGGGGGCTGGGGTTACTCATTCACTCATAATGTTTTCACTCATAATGATAAAATGATATGATAAAGTAAATAAATCAAATCATTGGTTTTAACTGAAAATACTTCATTCTACCTCTCAGCCACTTAAAAAAGTAGAAAAAATATGTCAGTGACCATTATTTGTTTTGTAAAAATGAAACTTTTGTCTTTGCAAGCAAGAGGCACATCTTCTTACTTACATTTTGTTGTCTCTCACCTATTCTATGGTACGCCATTTAGACTTAAATATTGCTCAGTTGTTTACAATGTGTGCTTGATAAAAGTATGTTCATCATCTTCCCCTCTGTCTTCGACAAGTCAAAACAGAGTTCTGTCAGGAGATTTTACCTCTAAGGTAACCCTGTGAAGTATGTTATCTGTAAAACAATAAATAAATACTTGTCATCAAATCGGACAAGCTTGACATCATTCATTAAGACGGAGGATATATCAACTTAAAAGCTAATTATTTTTCACTCTGTTGGTTTTGGTTCTGCAGCATATTGGTAGAGTGACAGTCACAGAATTGCAGGATTCACTGATGCAATGAGAAAAACAGGAATTTTGTTGATCTATGCTGGACAAGGAGAAAACTTTTTTTTTATTTACTTGAATCCTTTATGATATTTGTATTGTTTCCCACCACCACTACAGAAGAAAAGTTTTCAACGATGCCAAAATGCTGATGTAACCAAATCAAAACTGTCAAGAAAAAAGGGTGTGCTATCATGAAGTCACTTATAATATATTCTTTCAGCAAATATATACATCATTATGTCTTTTTCTACTCATTCAAATTGCCATCTTCTGTCATTTAGCTCTGGTGCTACAATCGAGTGAACAATACCGTGTCGTTGAGAGAAATACAAGAAAGAAATATCACTTTCTGCAGAAAAGAAAGTTTGTCAAGAACGTCTGTAACTGAGTTTGTTTTTCAATACATGAACCACAATCCACTTAAACAGGGAAGTCATTATGTTAATAGAGTTTTACGCGCTCACACAGTGGATCCTTGCTCCTGAATCTACAGCACAGGTCCAGAGATGCTTTAGCATGGAGCCACTGATCATCGCCATGAAAAAAGCATCTGGATGTACCTGAACTGCTGCTCTGCTCTAACGAGGGCACTTTGATGTAAAGATAATGTTGCGTTCCACATTTTGATGAATTGTTGTCCTCTTCTGGGCGTTTATTTACATATAAATCATTGAAGTCAGTATATTATTCTGCTGGTACTGCTTTAGTAACCCTAGAATTGACACCAAAACAAATGTAGACATTTGAATTCATGCTTGTCTCAGTACTATCAAACTGATTTTTTTTCAGTATCAAACATTTATGAGCATTGTAAATGTTAACCATTAAGCACTAAAGAAGGGACAAGTCATTATGTCAAATAATGTGTTTTCTGAGCAGTCTAACCTTGTTTATAGACACTTTTTATGTTGTGTGGCCTATTTGTTTTTTGTATTTTGTTATGTTTTTTTATGGTATGCTTAATGTAGGCTATTACTTTTTTTTGCTTTCCTACTCTTGTGAATTAGCTCATGAACTTTCAACATGTGTTTATGTGCACCATTGTGCTTGACTTGCTTTGTTGGAAAGGGTTTTCAACACATTAAAAAATGATATGTAATACAGCAAGATCCCACATCGGCATCTTTTATTGTGGAGTTTACGAGAGAGCAAAGACTCAGCATCACGTGAAGGCATCAGTGGCTCAACGGTGATCGCAGTCACTGTTGTGATAACTGACAGTCAACCAAGGTTAGTGACTGCCAGTAGACATCAACCCTTTTATGACTCTGGGTGTCCCTGCCTTACATTATGGCTCCTATCCAACATGTTAGTGTACATGCACTCAGACAAACACACTGAAACACGCTAAATCAAAATCAAGTTTATGTTATGTTTGTCATGTTTTCAGTTTAGCAGTTTGACAGATATCGCTGCTTTTGGAGAAGCTTTTTATATTTGCATCTGATAAATCTATTCAAAATTTACTTATTTTACATTCTGAATATGTTTATAAAGCAATGCATGACCATAGTGATACAGTATATTATTAATTTTACTTAAAGAATAAGTATATATATATTATATTTATGGTACTGTCAACGAATACCATATAAAGACTAAAAAAGAAAATGTGTTAGTCTGTCGTACAATTCTCCCTCTCAATGACTTAATTCTCACTGAAGATGAAAATCTTTAAAAACTGGTCACAAATGTATAGATGCATTTTTTCTTAAAAGCTCACCAATTATCTTTTTAGCAAACATCACTCAAACAAGCCCAAATTCTGTATTTGTTAGGAACTATTTTCATGTGCGGACTAATTCACATTTGGTGCTCTTCCTGCGAGTATTTACAGCAGCAGGGCGGATTACTGTAAGTGGGATTGATTTAAACTAAACTACAGAGCCCATTTTCATGAACATTGTGAATAGCTTTTTGACAACAATGGAGCTGTATCACAGTAATAATCTGTATCAAACTTTGTAGACAAAGAAAGAAAGAAATATCCAATATACTGTATTTAGGTCATCTTACAGTTTTATGCCTTCATACATATCAAACTCTGTTAGTAAAGGAGAAGAATGGTCACGTCCTTGTGCGATTCCCCCTTCAAATACTACCAACAACACTGCTGACACTATCTGGCTGGACAGTTGCATGTCTGACAGAATTACTTTCATAGCAGCTGAATATTCATAATTGGCCAAACAACAGGGCCGAGGGTACAAGGGAGCAGTTGGCTGTAGAGTCTGCGGACGGTCACAGACCTTGACTGCTGAGCGAGTGTGAAATGCCAAAGCCAGACTGCTCCCCGACGCCTGGAGGGCAGCGAAGGAGCCGGGCCTGCTCTCACCACACAGAGAGGGCATCTAAAACAATCTGACAAGACTTCATCCACAATCACAACATCAAGCCTGCTGCGTTATTATCTGAAACAAAACATCTTGTGAAATAAGTTGTGCAGAGAATAATAACTGTTTACTGGCATTTTTGAGGGATTTTGTCACGCAGCGTAGTTCTCTTCTTTTTTTTTTTTTTTTTTTACACCTCCTCATTCCTCAGGAGTGTTGACACTGTGCAGGCTGATTGAAATCTAATGTTGCTGTTGTTGACATCTGCCTCCCCAGCTGTCATTGTACCACTGTTTATAATTACAGCTGCCGAGGAAGAGAATGGGTGGGTGGCCCAGACACCTTGTCTTCCCCTCTCAACAGAGCCCAGCAGACTGCTCTAATGTGCAGTGACACAACAGCCCAGACCCTGCTGCTGCTGCTGGACTGACTGACCACATGGGTGGCTCCTCCAAAATTCACTCATTTACACACTGTCATACAGACATAGATTATATCGTGCAAAGGAGAATGGGTGTGGCATCAGATTCTGTTAAATAACAGGGCCGTTAAGTCTTTCTTTTCTCTTGCTTCGGCAGATAAGATCAGTTCAAGAGGGTGTACGACTCGCAAATGTGAGAATATGAAATTAGATTACAAACAATTGATTTGATGTGAACAAAAGAGGTGTACAAATGGGGCCAGAAGTGTCTGTTCCTCTCCACAAGATGGCGATGTTAACACATTTCATATTCTCCACATGATAAAGGGGATATTTAAATTAAAGACAGTACTGCCTACTTGGAATTGTGTGATGTTTTATTGGCCCTGAATTAAAACTATTCTGCTGGTATTCTCCTTTTCCCTCATTTTGTTTTTTTCACTTGCATAACTCTACAAACATTTGTAATGTCCCTGGGGTGATGACTTAGTCTGCTGCTTGCCTTTCCTGCTGATCTCTCCCTCTCTCCCTCCCTCCCTCTGTGTGTGTGTGTGTGTGTGTTCGTCATGGCATCATGCAGTTTATAAAAATAAACATGATTCATCATTCTCACATTTGCATCGTGCACTGTTTCATTCAGCAGTGATAGCTGAATGATGTCTTTGTTTGAAGTACTAGTTTCAGAGGTAAATTGTACTTCTTTAATATATTTCTTCCTCAGCAGCTGTAGATTAAGATTGTACACCTAAGACATAACAGCTTCTAAATGTATGACGTGTTGTTGTGTCTTTTACACAGCTGTATGTATATATATGTATTATTACTTTGCACATTTACTCAAGTACTGTATTTACTTGCACTTTACTTGACATTTTCTGCTACTTCATATTTCTATGCAAATACTTTTTACTGTGCTACATTTATTTGACAACTTCAGTTACTAGTTACTTTGCAGATTCAGATTAATAATAAAATATAATCGATAAATAAATTATGATGTGATATTTCATTTCAAGATAATACTTTACCAAGCTACCAAGCAGATATAAAGTAGTTTAAAAAAGTAAATTTGGCAGCTTTAACATTAAAGTGATGTACACATTATTACATCAATAATTATAATCCAATAATATAATATACACTATTATGAAACTGGCCATTCCATATAATGGGTACATTTACTTACTTTTCCTATATGTTAGTGGCAATACTTTTGTACTTCTACATGCATTTAAACAAAAAATTTGACTTCATGGCCCTTACCTGTAAGTGTGTGGTGGCAGCAGCAGCTATGTGGAGCAGTAACATGTACAGGAGGTGTTATGTTGCCTCTGGTGGCAGCAGTGCCGTATAACACAACACAGAGGGGGGGCAAACTGCTCGGTGGTAACAGGGAACATTTCTTCACCGCGATGCTCCTCCTCTCTCCTCACGGTGCCAAATTCCAATGAAAGCTTGTATTTCCACTTTCCTCGGACAGGAGCCCCCCTTTTTTTTGTATCGGCGGAAAACAACATGGCAGACGTTGCCGACGGAAGAAGCGGCGGGATTGTGGTAATTCATGGGGAAAACACACGACAGGGAATGCAGGACAAGTGCTCCATGGCGGAAAAAAAGTTTACTGATTCATGGATGCACAGGCTGCTGCTGCTGCTGCTGCTGCTGCTGCTGCGCAATCGGGCAAATTTACGCACCTTGTAGATTTATTTCCTTCAGGGCCACATGTCTCTCAGGCTGATTTGGTGCGACACAGTAATGCAGCTCGTGTTTTGGTGTTTTACTGCTTGTAGACTCAGCAGTGGTGCGTAAACTACAACATAATATTTATCCTTTTCCTCCCAGATAAACGATGACTGGCCTGGCTACAGTTTAGACCTCTTCAGCTATCCGGCTCACTACTCCGGAGATTTAGACTGTGTCATCATTCCGCACGGCGTGATTATGGACAGGTACAACGCCAAACTAACCAAAGTTCAGCTGCCTAACAAATACTGTTTGAATTTTCTGCTGCGATTCCCCCGAGGCTGCATGAAAGCTACACGTGGCCTTGAACAGATCTGAGGGATTTTGGGGACATTTTTAGGACATTTAATCTATAATTTGTTTAATTTTGTGGTATGAAACTGTTGGTATAAAATGATCACTGTAAAGCTGAAAAAACCACACACTAAACCAACAACCACTCACAAACACACAATTTCCCATAGTTAATGTCATTTTGATTATAATTTATAGACTGTGCATCTGCGTTAGGGATGGGACAATGTACAATATTAAGATAAAAATCACTCAGATAAGTACATTTTGGTAAATTTCTATTATTGGGATAATCATAAATATCTTTACAAGTGACTTTAAAAAGCTGTCCAGCTCACTAACCTACAGTTCTCTACTGATTTCCTGATTGATTTTGAACAAAGGTTATTCCTAAATCCTAACCCTGTCATCATGGCTGAAGGCTCGGCCTACCTGTAGCATCCCCCACAAAAACAGTTAAAGGTTCCTGTTTGAGGTGTCCTATCTGTAATGCAATCTGTTTCTAAACCAAATGTAAAGTAAAGTGATTCCAGTATGTTTTTGTGGCATTTTAAGAATATACTGACTGACTATAAGTATACTTATTTTGGCCAGGTTAATTATAATATGAAATCATCCCAATGCCTAATCTGCATCACAATGCACAATAGTAGACAGTAATGGGATACATACGGTACATGCGGTACAGCGGTATAAGGCTTTGTGACAATGTTGAAATCAAAATAAAAATATTAATACATTATTTTTCATTAGTAACATATAACTATATGGCACATATTGAATCAATGTCCAATGCAATTAACTGTGTCCCATTGAACAAGGAATCAGTTATGAGACAAACTCTTCACATGTAAAAAGAACAATACATTTCTCGATAATGCTCAGTATTATTGATTAATCTGCCAAATTTTTTCTTGGCTAACTGTTTTGTGTATATAATGTTAGAAAATATTGATATAATACATGTTCACATGTCTTGTTTGTCTGACCAACAATGCAAAGCTCAAATGTATCCAATTTACTATCATGTATGACAAAGAAAGCCATCAAATCTTAATATGTAAGAAGCTAGAAGTCAGCAATTTTTTTGCTTAGGAATATCAAAATAGTTGCAGATTAATTTCCAGTGAATTGACTTTGACCTTCATTAGGCCTACACACAGTAAGACAACATTCATATTATAATATTGTCCCATGAAGTCCAATATTACCCAGCTGTAGTAAAAACATTCAAAAACGCCCCGACTTGCATAGTTTAAGATCCTGTCCAGACATGGTATCTCATATGTTTTTTCCGCAACAAAAGTATAATTTCCACATTAACATCCTTAAAAAAGCATCTCCTCCCTCTACCTGGAAAAAAAAACATCCAGTTCTATGAATCTATGAATATGCAATTTTGTTGATGTTTAAGTTTTCTTGCTCGACACAAGATGTCTCCTGCTTCACTGTAAAGTCCATTTTCTGCATGTGTCCTGGTGGCTGGTTTCTACATCACACTTATATGTTGAATATTGGATTGTTTTAGGTTCCTAGATCCACACCAAAAACAGTTCACTTGTTTTTTAGCCTGTGGCCTACCCTTCCACCAAATCACACTGAAATTTGTTCATGTCACTTAAACAACAAAACATGGCGGATGTAAACTCCTGGAGGGCTTTTTTTAGTAAACATGAATCACCCGCAGCTGTGAGCTTGACTTCTGTGAGGCAAGACACGCAACATTTCAGAATCAGAATCAGAAATACTTTAATAATCCCAGGGGGAAATTACATTCATCATTACATATACTCCAGATGCAATAGACATACAATATATTAAGAATATATATAAATATATATATATATATATATTGAGGTTTAAAATGTACAGTTTAAAGTCACAGATTTCTTTACAGAGTTAAGGAAGAAGTTGATATTTCGCGTTTACAGGACAGAACGTCTGGCTCGAAACATCATGGATGACCTAGGGGACCATGACATCGTGGTGCTGTGTGTGCTGAAAGGAGGCTACCAGTTCTGTGCCGACCTGGTGGACAGGATCAAGGCCCTTAGTCGCAACTCCAACCACACAATCCCCATGAGGGTCCACTTCATCCGCCTCAAGAGCTACCTGGTGAGCCTCTGCCCGCTGCTGCACAGGCAGCACTCAGACGCTGACAGTTTGACTGAAGTGGCATGTGTGACAATGAAGAGGCTCTCTTCATGCTTAAGATTATCAATCGTGATGGTACTGAGTCTCATGACTTAGTCAGAAGATTTGTGAGTTATGTTTTGTACAGCATTATGACAGTGGTATCTTTGTGTAAGTTTGACTTGAATGTGCTGTTTTCACGAAGACCCCATGAAGCTCAGGCAAAGGAGACTTTTAAATGCATATACCGATGATATCATGCGATTGTGCTGTGCTATAAAATCCACTTCGACCTTGAATACATCGTTTGTATCAAGTCTAGAGGTGATTTCTGCACATACATATGGCAGTCTTTATGAAAAGTTCCATGGAAAGGCAAAATAATGTACTTTACTAAGTGACATTGGCATAGTGACATTCCAAGTAGGAATCACACCTTTTAAAATTGGTAATACTACCACATTTTTCAGGATGACATATTTCACTTGTTTTTTTTAAACATAAAAAAAAAACCTTTTAAAACTGTATTTTATTTCCTCAGAATGACCAGTCAACAGAGGATCTTCACATAGTCGGAGCAGAAGATTTGTCTTTTTTAGCTGGAAAGGTAATATTCTTCTTATATACACCATTGAAATCTCCCCCTACACTTTAATAAAGAACAAATCTGAGTCCAGTGAAACATTATTATAAGCTCTATTACAGTAAAACAAACACTGACAGGTGAGGATTGTGGGTATTGATAGATGGCAGCCTCAAGAGGGCAGCCTTCCCTCTAAACTGCTTTCTCCCTCTCCATCCTGGGGAAATGGTTCAGTGCTTCTGTAAAGGAGATCAAAGATGGCAGTTTCTGACAAACCCAGCGGTGATCAGATACCAACTGTTGTAATGTAATTGTTTAAAGGCCTCTTCCACTTTATCTCTGTGGAGAAAATCTGTGTAAATGGGAGGATATACTTGCTATCAGGAGGACAGTGGTCTAGTTACTCAATCACTCATCTGCTTGTATTATTATCATGAAATCAAAATCAGTACAATCACTGGACTGGAGAATGTGTAGGTGTGGTTAGGTGTGTGTGTGTGCGCTGACTGTTACCGGATCTGACAGAGTGGATACTATTTACTAAAGGTGAAATTTCCAGCCTGATTCCCAATTTGGGGGTTGTCACAAGATGAAGGACAGTTCAAATAAAACAAAAATCCATCTCTTACACAAAATGATCTTCTTATTATTTCACTGTAATCTTAATACTTCACAGTTCTTCACACCTCTTAAAGCCTCTAAAATTATTAATATTATAAAAATATAATAATTAATTAGATCATTTCTCAGTTTAATTATGAAACTGAGATTTACCCTTTGATTAAACCTATGACAAGGAATAGAACTGCTTTTGCACTAGGGCTGCAACTTATTCATATTCTGCCTATTATTTTATAAAAATCTCAGAAATGTATGAAAAATGCCCATCCTACAATATCCTGGAGAACCAAGGAGACGTCTTCAAGTTGCTATTTTCGTCTGACAAACCCAAAGACATTCTTTTTAATGTCATAAGACAGAGAAAAGCTGCAAATGCTTACATTGAGAAAGCTGGATCCAGAGAATGTTTGACCATTTTAGCTTGAAAAATGACTTCAACGGTTGATCAAATATTAAAATAGTTAATTAAGTTATTTGCGCATAGCATTAATTAAAACAACACTGCTCTTCTGAGTTAATCGATTAATTGTTTAAGCCCTTATGAACACAACTGATGTTCACAATTCCACATGAGATCAGATTTGTAGTTTATGTCCAGGTGTTTCTTCAGCTGATGTAGACATTGTACTGTGTCTGTGAAAGAGTGTGTGCAGAAACACTTATCTTTTCTCTCAACACATCTGTGCATATATTGCGTGCGTGCGCGCGCGCGCAGGGATGAATTACTCAATCACGACTACAGAAGTCAAAAGTCTTTCTATGTAATAGAAATCAGCTGATCTGAACACTCAGTCGCACACACCCCTTAGCTGAGCGCGTGCACACACACACACACACACACACACACACACACACACACACACACACACACTAATATGCCCTGTAGTCAGGCGTGGCATAAATGCCTGAAACATGAATAGGATATGAGGTAGTAAGCTTGAGTCACTGCTGGCTGCGTTGCTCTCAGTATTTAAAGTGTGCTTGTGAAATCCCTGAGCTCCCCGTGATGTACAACTAAATTTAGTCGCCTGTTTCTAACAGAATGCTGCGATGTTTTACTGGAAGAAGTGAACTAATTGTGTGACAAGGAACATATTACATAGTTAATGTCATGTCTTTGCCTTCCTGACAGACAGTAGCTTCCCTGTTCTGCATGAACTTTAATATATAGCCTATTCCTTTTATATTTCTCCAGGGTTTACTGCACTCTAAATAAATATGGATAAATAATGAGCTCTGAACAAAGCATGACTACATGCTTGGCTGAATCCTTGGTTTGAAAAGTAGACTAAAGCGCATACAGTTAAATGGCAGTTAAAGTTGGTCTTATTATCTTGACCTAACTAAGTTTAACTGAAGCTTCAATTGTGACTCTTAATACACGTAAATAGTGCCCAGTTGTCTCCAGTTGATTAGACAAACATTTGCAGAATCTCAGCTATTTCAGCGGGACCTTCAAAGAAGGACTGCAGGAGCAAATATTTTCAGTCGGGATGTTTCTCTTTTTTTTAATCATACTCGCATAGATCATTTTCTTTTTTAGATTTGTTTTGCATGTAGTTCTTAAATAAACTTGCACAGATTAACCTGTATTCAAAAGTCCTTTGTCACTGTTATTTACGTGTATAGTTTGCTGCTGCTTTACAGCTACACAGTTTTACATTTATCTGACTTATCTTGGAATGGGTGTGTGGTTGTTCAGAAGATGCAACAGTTTCTTATCTACACCTATCCTAATCCTAATTGTTTCCCTCCCTCTCTTCTCTCCCCAACATGCTCTCATAAGAACGTACTGATCGTGGAGGTGAGTCAACCATGTTTTTGCTTCTCTGTTTTTCCTCCTCACCAAATGGGCCTATTGTATTTCTTGCCGTGGTCGGATATCCAGGTCAAGAGGAGCCATTTAAAGTTTTTTTTTCCCTCTTCGGCAAGAGTTCAACATGAGGAAACTTTTTAATTGGCTGTCCCAGATAACTGAGCTGTTTATTCCAACATGATCATAAACTTTACTGTTAGCACAATAATTGTGTCATCATGTATTGGGAGGAGGTGCACTAAGGATGACATGACATTTAGAGGAAAGAAATCACTATGGTCATTCAGTGATGGTTACTTCCTGTATGTAAATAGTTTGAAACAACTATCATTAGTCAGTGCTCAAACATCTGGGATTATGGCCATGCAGTCATTCATTGACAATGGCAGTACTTAACTATTTTAATAAATAATAATAATTATTATTCTACAATAAATTGTTCATAGTGATGAATCCACAGAGATTTAGTCTAAGGAGGGTTTTTGCATCTTTCAGCTTTTTGTTGTGGTTTTACGTTGTTTTCGCTGCATATGGATGTTCAAATATATAAGGTGATAATATTAATATGTCGATGTTGTGTTTACAATTTGTTTCGCTGTCTCCAAGAGGCCAAAAAACAAATAATTCAGGTTTAAGTACTTCAGATACTGTAATCCAATAACGGTTTTATGTACTTGTCTTTACAATTTTCTAAAATGAAATAATGATGATGAAACATCACAATTGGATGGGCAAGAATTACACATCACAGTCAAGATGACTGTTGGACAGTTCTTGTATTTCAGAGGGAAACAGGATATATTTACACTGAAATTGTTTCAATCAGGATGAATGCAGTGCTTGAAATTAAGGATGTGCTGTTGTCACTGGGACAATAAAAATAGCACCTGCTATTGGACACAAAGATACAGTGTCTAGGAAAATTCAGTAGAGAAATTATTACATTTATGCATCATGGAATATACATTTTACAATTTATTATGATATAGTATATTGTAATCCATTCCCATTCATGCTGCTCAGAGTAATCGCAGTCCACAGCAATAAGTCACTCATCTTTGCGGCATGTGCATGCAGTCAGTAGGTGTGGTGGAGTGTGGGGCCTCTGGATTACGGTGTTCCTATAGCCTATATGTAAATAGTTAGTTTGAGCATGTAAATATTTAAATAGTTTGTTTGATCTTCTCCGTCCCTTTGTAGATTTGAATTTTTTTACTTCAAATATTTAATATCCCTTGAGTGAGATTGAGATCATTATGCATGTGTATGTATGGACATTTCCATCGCTGTATCCCAATCAGAAACAGGTCAGCATTTGCACTGCAGAATTTATCGATCAAACAGTTAGAAATAAAGAAAAAAAACAGTAACTCAAACAATGACAAAAAAATAATGAAAATTGATTGTGGCCACTCACCTACAGTGATTACATTTTTTTTATTCAGTTACTGAAACAAAATTATTAAACTATATTATATCATATTATATTATTATTTCTAATATATACTACATTAGGAAAAAAGAACGTATGTTTGGAATAATGGTTGTTAAGTTTTGGACAGTCAAAAGTAGAATTCAGGACAGCTGCGGGACACTGAGGAAAAAGTTCAATTGTCCCTGTTTGATCCCTGTTTGAATGGTGACCATATGTGAGTTTATTTGTGTAATGGCTTTCAAACAGATGCAGCTTAAAGTGCTTTACATATGGCAAAGAAATGCATTTGAACAACATTTCAAAACAAAATGAAAGGAAAAATAAAAAGCTGAAAGCTACATTTGTTGTTTTTTTTTATTATTTGTGTAGTTTTTCATACAACTACATGAGTAATATTTAAGTTAAGAAACAGCATTCTCCATGAGTAACTGGACACTCTCTCCACCTGCTTTTTCCCTCTGCTCATATCCTGTCAAAAGTGAAAAATGTTTAGCGTGAGTGTGTAAGGACAAGCCATATGAAGGGCATGCTGACCTACATCTGGATGACAAAGATGACAAAGCATGCTTCTGTGGCTTCGTTCCACCACTACTTTTACCTCTTTCTAACGCAAGAGGTCAGAGGCTTAAAGCATCACATGATAAATTCCCCTTCTTAGTCATTTTTAGCATTAACAGTTATGTAATGTAAGTACAGTGTGGCCAACTTCTTCCTTTTCACTTTTACTCCAGTGTGAGTTGAATCTGCTTTGGTCTGCATTTCTTTATTGGCAATCTCTTGCACTCTCAATCCAGTTTTTCTATCTTTCCCTTACAGGCCATTGTAGGCACCGGAAAGACAATGAAGACTCTCCTGAAGCATGTTGAAGCCTTCAGGCCAAAAATGATCAAAGTAGCAGGGTAAGCTTGGGCTGTAAAGACCTCAAAAACAAAACCAGCCTAGTTGTGCTGCTTTGTGAATCACTCAATTTCCGCCTGCCAGTCTAGACTGAGAGAGGGAGAGACAAAGAATGAATAAGTGACGCAGGTTTCAGCTACCAGTGTTTTAAAGAGTACTACTCCTTGACATCCTGCGTGACATATAGAAAGCGTTATCTTATGATAATGTCTGCTTTTATGTTTCCCAGATTGCTGGTGAAGAGAGTCCCACACAACTCAGCATGTCTTCCTGACTGTATGTACCTGACCAACCCTTTTATCTGTATCTGAGTCAGTGGTTCCTTCTCAGTTAAAACAATTGTTGCAGCTTGTTAGTCAGTGAGTCAGTGGACTGTGGAAATACTTGAAATTAATGTTTCTCTTTGATTTCAGATGTCGGCTTTGAGATACCCAATCGGTTTGTGGTTGGCTATGCCTTAGACTACAATGAGTATTTCAGAGACCTAAATGTAAGTCAGACAACAGTAACTCTGTTTAGAGGAAGAGGTCATAATGAGTGTCTAGTGACATTGACCATCATAAATTCATCAAATTGACATTTTTATCATATTTTGCCTTTTGACTGTAGTTTTCCTTTCTCCCCTTTTAGCATATCTGTGTGATCAGTGAAAGTGGGAAGACAAAATACAAAGTTTAAAAAAAGGCGACTGTCACACAGATGTCATCTAACAGCAAGCCTGAACATACTCCAGTGTGCCAAGTGCCATTCACTTACAGCTGCTATGGTGACATTTGATCTCAAGCATCCCTGTTTTGTTATAACATTCCTTTGGTGAAACATTTGTTTTAACAATAGACACGGACATTACACTGGTAATTTTAGCAAAGCTAACACATGCTTTCCCATTTATTCTTTGTGTTTACCGAACTAATTCACATGGAAAGTGTTTAATGCTACTGCCTTTGTCAGTTTGACTAAATGCCACCTTTGTATGTAATGTTAAGACTCTGATAATCCTGTGTGAATGTGATTTTTAAATCAGTGATTAGCAAAGTAACAAAGAAAAAGGGAGTTTTTTTTATAAGGAAATTAGTGATAGAAGTTTACATTCTCTTCCCAGGTTCATTGCCTTTTTAATGTTTCTTTAGTTAGTTCTCCTGCTGTCACTTTTATTGCTCAGGGGCAAACAAAGTAGTTCTGTAAACACTCAATGTGCTAACTACCTCTTTTTTTTTTTTTTTTTTTTTTTTAGTATTTGAGGTGTAGTGGGATACTCTGTTTCTGTATTTCCTTTTATAATTTAACATATCAGTAAAGTATTTTTAACATGTCTGTGTTCTGTTGTCTCACATCCTCTGTTGGTATAGAAAATGCATTTTGAGATGTTGATAAAAATGTCTTTAAAGTGGTGTTGAAGTTGAGCTCACAACTTTTCATACCTCCCAATTTTCTTAGGTTAATAATGTAAAGAAGGGCTCCGAGACATAGAAACATAATGTTGAATGAAGTGTCTTCTAAGGACTCCTCAGTTTCCAAAACTGTTAACTGGTGTATAATGCTATCTTTGTGTTTTTTAGAGTATCACATCTTGAAAACATCAGGCCACATTGGTTAAAAAAAAAAAAAATAGGTACAGTGCCAATGAACTAGTAAAAGGAACAAAAGAGAGTCGGTTGCGTTGAGCTGCTTTCCTCTTTGTATACACCTGACATATGACTCCCAGTCTTTAAACAGGGAACACAAAGTGCCATAAAGGCAAAACCGTTTCTTTCCTTGGTACTGAGGTCTGCTGGGGATTATGGTGAATTGACTCTCTGACCTTTAGCTCCAAGAATTAATGACTTGATGAAGTACTCAAATAAGATTACATTATTACCGTCCTAGGTTTTAGTCAGTATTTTTTGTCAGTAGTGTGGAAGAAGTAGTAAAAGTCTGCAATCTTACGTGAGTAAAAGTACACAAGTATTACAAGAAAAATGTGGCTATTTGTAGTAGCATATTGTAGTTTTACTGTTGTAGGTGGTGTAAGTTTAGCAACTTTTAGTAGTGTATACACCATACATCATAGATTATAAACAGATTATATGTTTTGTATGTGAAAGAAAACAGTAATAATAGCTGTAAAGTAAGTGTGGAGTAAAACTAATAGGCCTATGTTCCTCTGAAATGTAGTGAAATGCAAAGTAGGCCAAATGAAAACACTCAAGTAAAGTATCTAAGAAGTCTCATATCCACAGCGGAGCCACTGAAAGTAGAAACTGGCTGGACAGGACAGCTTTGTGAAAGTCTCCTCCCTAAACTGACCTCTGCAACAAAAGCTGCCAATCCCAAGAACAGGTGGTCCCTTATGTTGGGTGGGAATAAAAGGGACATTTGTCAGGGCCCTGAGAATCCGAGCATTTATTTTAGTCAACAGCTACAATCTGTTTAAAGATTGTGTGCCGTAAAGGACCAGTGTTCCGCATTTAATTTGAATAATCTGCTTTGGGGAGTAAAGATTATATTCTGTGTGGTATGTGTGAACTCACATTCCACATCCACTGCCATCCACATGCCAGCCCTGCTCGACCTCACTTTGAACCAGAACATGTGACTCCCGGTTCAGCCTTGTTGTTTAAATGAAACGAAACCGGGGAGGGGGGGTGTTGATTGTGAAAACCCTGAGACGTGGACTTGTCTGCGTTAGTTATACCGAGAAAGTGTCTCCATGTGCCCTCGACTCCATGAACTCAACTGAAACGATTGGAAAACACCACCTTTTAACAGTGCAGTGGCGACTTTTTGTAACGTCGCACCTGATTGGTCCGCTCGAATACAACGCCGCCTCTGATTGGCTGAGAGTGTCCTGTTGACCGAAGGTGGACTCCCAGAGAGTCGGGAACGCTGGAACCAAAAAAAAAAAAAAAAAAATCCAGCTACTAAACTGCACCATGCGCCTCCCCTGAGTGGGTTTGGAATAATCACCGGGAAGCCGTTTGTACTCAAACTATATTAAATTATGGCAACGCCTGACCAGCTTGGATCTCCCACGCTATGATTTCACTTTGTCTACTCACTTTTATGGACAACCGCCGCCGCTGTTGGCCGCCCGTAATGACTCTTAACAACCACACAGGTAACTTTGTTTTAACTCCAGCCGTTAGCATGGATGCTAACCGCGGCAGTAGCTGCCTGTTGCCGCAGTTGGTTCTGTTGTTGCTTTTGCCCACTTTACGAGCTTTAACGATTGCTTTCCCGTTGTATATAACGTGGAAAGTGGCTACGGTGTCTTTAACGTATTTGTGCCGGTGTTTTATTTAAAAGCAACAAAGGAAAAGCCACTTTAGTTGGTCGCTAAAGAACAACAGCGGCTCGACACGCTCTGTTCGAGTTGACCATCGATCTCAAACAAGAGAAATTCAAAGTCACCATTTCTAAATCACACTACCCTTGTTTTTCTTATCGAAATACAAACATTATAAATAACTTAAGTGACTTATGCTTTCTAACCCCGGTTCTACAAGGGTCTGTTTTAAAAATTAAATTTAAAATGTGACTTTATTTCGACCTGTGTCCCCTTATGTAGTCCACTTGTTGCTGGCCATTCATCATGCACTGTTGACTATCCACGTTGTTGTGCTTCAAGCTGATGACAACAAACCTAAGTTGTTGTTGCGTGAATAATGCGGTGATTTGTTACATTACCGTCTTAAGCATGACCACAACACGTAAGGTGATACTGAATCAAGTGTACTTGTGATACAGTTAATGGCTTTGTTAACTAACTTCTGCTCTCATTTCATCATACAATGTGACATTTTATTACTCCAATTTCGATAGTCAGCACACACACAAACATCAGGTTGAAAATAACATTATGTTAGGACCTGTTGCATGAAGTTGATTGTCCAGAATTAAGCACGGATGGTCTACTATTACGTGCGTTAAACAACTGAGGTATTGATTCATGTTGTTTTACAGACCTTTGAACAGTGTGAGGTGCCACATCTGAGCAGCTAAATTTAAAAGTCTTCTGGTAATTCAACAAAACAAAATGCACCAATAACATATGCCTCTTTCCCATCCCTCTCTGTAACAGATAGACTAGGAAATCAAGCAAGAATGGAGGTGTAAATTGGACTTGGTGGAGCATATTTTCTTGCATTCTGCTGGAGCTACCTTTTCGATGTGGCCGATCACGGATAACTGGATTTTAAGTTGAATGATGGCTTCACGTTGGGTTCATTCTTGTGAAGATGATGAGAGACAACAAGCAAGATCTTCTTTCTGTGAGGTAAACACAACAACTCAAATCTACCAGACTATGCATATTATTTGTGAAATGATGAATGAAATCTTTCAAATCAGGATGATGAAAGGGATTTTTTGGTAGGAACTGACTTTCTGGGTTGTGGTTTCCATTTCCGTGTTGGTCATCCCTCTCTCAGTTTGGTGCTGGCAGGGTTAGTAATGTGTTTGACACTTTGGCCCAGCTGTTTATGCTTCTAACGACTCCTTTTGCATTGTTTTTGCTCTTTATCTCAACAGTGCTCCATTATTTTGGTCATTTTAGTAATTCCATAAGATTTATGAGAGTTTGTCTGTGCTTCCTAGTGTGTTTTTAACTTGAAACCTGCTGGGCTTGGTCATTGTTGATGAAGAGATCAAAAGGCAGGTTTCAGTCGCAGAACAGCATTTAATTGGATTTGAAATTTTAATCAAACTCATTGCTGGAGGAAGTGGGAGGAGACAATGGCATTGAAGCAGTTTATTCAAGTCTTTCAGATTTTTAAGCTGTGACCCCTGTAATACCAGACAGGACACCATCTGCTCCTCTGAAAGCTTGTCGCCTGAATGAAGACCTTCATGGTAAACTAGGTAGCAACCCCGTACTCTTTGAAATGGAAGGGCACCTATTTATAGAATCCATAGTTTTCTTTCATTCCCTCCATCGCCTTTAATCTAATATTCAGCTCTCCACTTAAGCCTTCCTGCTTCTATGTGAATAGTCTGTAAATGAGGGATGTAAAGCTCCTTATGTTGTTCAATTCTAACAGACTAGATGTACTAAATTTGATTTGAGATCATTGAACAGAGCACAGGAGAGCAAAGGATATTTCGGCACTCAACAAGATAATAAATCAATTAGCAAGTAATAGGCTCAATGTTATTATGTTTGTTTTTCATTTATTTATATTCATGAGTTTTCTTTCCAGAGCCCTGAAAATATTTTTTTCTCATTTAAACACCGTTTAAACACAGTTGTTGCATCCTAGTCTTTTTCACTATCACAGCTAAAACGAAACAAACTCAGATGATGTACTTACCTTTGTTATTACGACCATCTGGATACAACCCCTTAACGTCTAAATGAGTTTAATGAATGAATCTAATAGCCCCTAACAATTCTGATGCAGCAAATGTGCAGAAAATAACTCATGAAACAACACACTGTTAGCTTGTTAGAAAACATTTTGCGTAGCGCATAATAAAACTGTCTAAGATCTATTTACTTTTTTTTTAAATGTGAGTATGGTGGGAGAAAAAACCTCAGCACAGTGCAGTCAGTGGAAATCCTTTTTTAGCAGTCCCTCTAATAAGGCTATCACACAAACCAATTCATGTGCTAATTTTGAGCCGGAAACCCCCCTGGAGTCTCTGGTCCTGGGATTTTTGGGAAATGATGACATGGTGGATTTAATGACTTAAGAAGTTTCCCAAGTGTATGGTTTTGTTTTTTTTGTTTTTTTACTTTTTTAATCACTTTTTGAATGTGTCAACTTGTGATGGCCTCGGTTGATGGTCATCAGAGATGTGGGTGTGCCTTTGTTTTTCTTCAGAGAAAGCATGCCTTGTTGCTGTTGCAGGACTAGGATGGGTTACTGTCTCAGGCGTAGTGAAACACAAAGAGAGATATTCAGTAAAAACTCTGTTGAAATGAACATAACTGAGATACTAAATTGGACTCATGGTGGATTTGCCTTTTTAATATAAAATGTTTTTAATAACCATACAGTTGTACTGTGCTATATCACAGAAAATGACATTGAGTGATATTTGGAAGATGCGTCTATTGTATTTTTCTGAAAAAAACATTTGACTTTGAAAATATGAGGAGCTGTTTGTTAGTTCCTTACTGTTGTCTCCCAATAGCAGCTACTTTCCTTTTGTTATAATACTTTCATGCAGCCTTTTCTCTTCTTTTGACCTTTCCACAGCCATTTCAACCAGTGGCCTGGTAGATATATGCTTACGTATACTGTGCTTGCAACAACTTGATGGAGAAATAATTTGTTATTTCAAATCAAGATTTCTGTCTTTGGCTTTTGCTGGTTGTTTGATTTTCTTCTACA